ATATAAACTTAATATATATAGCTACATATACATTATAAATTTAGAATTTGTCATTCTAACACTGTCTGCTGAGGGTTCCAACGTATGCAGAGGGAATCAAACTACAACATGAAGGGTAAAGGGACCTGTAGGGTGGTAGGGTTCTCCATTCCACAGGAAGTGGTAAAATATTAATTCTAAGCAGGCTATGAAAAGTGTGTATATAATTTCTAGAACCACTAAATATTTTTCTTTAAAGATTTTATTTGAGAGAGAGAGCACACACAAGCAGGGGGGAGGGGCAGAGGGAGAAGCAGGCTCCTCACTGAGCAGGGAGCCCGATGCGGGGCTCCATCCCAGGACCCTGGGACCATGACCTGAGGCGAAGGCAGATGCTTCACCGACTGAGCGGCCCAGGCGCCCCCATCAATATTATATATACAAAGAAATATAGTCAGGAAGAGAGCAGCAGGGCAGGAAAGAAGAAACAGAACAACTGTTTGCCTAACCCCAAACCATGCCATAGTCTCATTAGACAGGAAGGGCCTGGCCTTGGACACGGGCACTCTCTGCACAGCAACTAAAGGAAACGAGGCTGTTTCTGCTCTTGGACTCTACTCCTCACACCACCGCTAACACTCACATTGTGAATTTTCCCCACAGAGAAGGAGAACTGGGCGTCCTACCATCTAACTCAGCTCTAACACCATCTCCCTGCAGACTGCATCAACCGCACAGCGGAAGGGCTCAGTCCCCCAAAACTGCCCCCGCTTCAGAAGCCAGTTGCAAGCCCCAGGTGCTCACCTGTACTTCCGACAGATCGGCTATCGATCGGGCTTCCCACAAGCCCCTCTTTGGGTTTGATAATTTGCTAGAACAACTCCCCCCAGAATGCAGGGAAACTCTTTCACTACCAGTTTATTATACAATAAAGAATATGATAAAAGATATGTACAAACAGATGACGAGGTGCATAGGGTGAGGTCTTGAAGGCTCCTGAGTGTAGCAGCTTCTGCTCTTCAACCTTGTAGAGCTGGGCTGCATCACTCTGCGACGCAGGACGTGTTCACCAACCCAGAAGCTCCCCGAACCTGTACTTTAGGGATTTTTATGGCGTGACTGATTATGAACCATCTCCAGTGCCTCTCCCCTCCCTCAAGGATGGGGCTGGGCTTCTAATCACAGCCTGATCTTTCTGGTGCCCAGCCCCATCCCGAAGCCATCCCAGAGCCCACCGAGTGCCTCACTAGGGCTGTTTATGTGGACGGACAGACAGAACCACCAGGAATCTAAACTAAACAGTGAGTTCTGTCAGGTTTCAGGATACACCTATGCATGAGAATAAGATTTTATTTGAGAGAGAGAGCACACACAAGCAGGGGGGAGGGGCAGAGGGAGAAGCAGGCTCCCCAATGAGCAGGGAGCCTGACACAGGGCTCAGTCCCAGGACCCTGAGATCATGACCTGAGCCGAAATCAAGAGTCGGACGCCTAACTGACTGAGCCACCCAGATGCCCTTACGCATTTCTTATTGTATCATAATATCACAGCCAAACACATTGAATTAAAGACAACTTATAGTTTGGACTTTTAAAAATCACCCAATTCCATGCTGGCTTCGAGGAACTCGCCCTGAATATAATAATGCACGTTGATTAAAGTGAACAGTAACCTCGTGTTCCATGATATCAATCACCCTGATACCATCACTCATCAAAGACAGCAGAGACAGCAGGCGCCTGGGTGGCTCAGTTGGTTAAGCGACTGCCTTCGGCTCAGGTCATGATCCTGGAGTCCCGGGATCGAGTCCCGCATCGGGCTCCCTGCTCAGCGGGGAGCCTGCTTCTCCCTCTGACCCTCCCCCCTCTCGTGCTATTTCAAATAAGTAAATAAAATCTTTAAAAAAAAAAAAAAAGACAGCAGAGACAGCTGCCGAGGATCTATTACATACAAACTTCAGCACAGAATCTAGCAACAAATAAAATGGATTCTACACCACGAAATTTATGTGGGGAGGTTTAAATCTGAAAGCCAATTAATATACCCTATCAGTAGAATGTTTTGTTTTTTGACAAAAATGACACATGATCATCTCAATGAATGAAAAAAAAAAGAATTTGACAAAATCCAACACCCCTTCCTGATAAAAACACTCAGAAAACTAGGAATAAAACTGAACTTCCTTCATCTGATAAAGGGCACCTACAGACGCTGGACCCCTAACATCATCTTAATGGGGAAACGCTGAACCCAAGACCGGGCGCAGGACACAGAGGCCCACATCCACCCGCGGAGTCCCGGAGGCTCCAGCCAGACCAGGGAGGCCACACAAGCAAATAACAGGGGACCTGAAATTGTTCCCAGTCACAGACAGGAGGGCTGTTTATGTGGACGGACAGACAGAACCACCAGGAATCTAAACTAAACAGTGAGTTCTGTCAGGTTTCAGGATACACCTATGCATGAGAATCGGGGGGTTTCTGAGTGCTCGCAATGAACAACTGGAAATTGAAACAATCTGTAACAGCTCCAAGGGAAAGAGAGAATTAGGCATAAACCTAACAGAGCAGGGGCTGGGTCTCTATGTTGAAACACCATAAAACATTGATGGAAGGAATCAAAGACGAGCAACTTCGGGCAGAGACATCCTGTGTTCACAAATCCCAAAGTATTCCTTCGTAGACAGACAAGCTGATTCTAAAATCTATATGGAAAGTCAAAAGAAGAGCAGGCAAAACAATCTGGAAAGAACAAAATTAGAGGACTCACACCAGCTGATAATAGGCAGTCCTCTCCAATTCAGGTTAGTTGAGTTAGGAGGGTGTTTTTGAAGCGATGGGCACAGAAAGAGATGGAACAGAACAGAACCCAGAAATAGCCCCGCACAAAATCGGCCAACGGACATCCCAGGAAGGTTTGAGGACCATCCAGGAGCGAAAAGACGGTTTTGTTGACAGATGGTGCTGGAACCACCGGCCTCCTCCTGCAGATACCGAAACCTCAGCCTCATACTTAAAATTCACTCAAAATGAATCCTACATCTCCATGTAAATTGTACGCTCCACAAGAAAACAGAGAAAACGTTTATTGTAATTCGGAGTCAGAGACATGACCCAGAAGCACAAGAGGGAAAAAAAAGGTACACTGATAGATTGGCAAACCAGACTTCCTAAAACCAGACTTCCTCTGCTCTGAGAGGCGCCCTTGTAAGAAATGAACACACAACCTACACACAGAACGGTTACAGAGGGCAGGGGACCCACACGCAGAGCGGAGTCGGCGATGGTACAGCGGTGAAACAGTGCTCAGCCCTGCAGACGGCGGGGGCACGCCCTCGGGACACCCACAGCAAGGGTGCGCGCAGACCGAGCACCGGGCTCCGGGGACGCTTGTCCGTGTGGCGGTCTTGGAAAGTGGCACACCCTCACCCCGTAAGCCCTGGAGACCCCGGGTCTCACCGTGTGCCCCGAAAAAGGAGAACCTGTGTTCACACAGACACCTGTCCAAGTCTGCAGCGGTTCTCTTCGTGGTCACCGGAGCCTGGACACAAGTTCTCGACAGGTGGACGCGTCGACGCCGGATGATGCCCCGCGCTGGAAGGAGGAACGGTGGGCACCTGGAGGACTGTCGGAGGCCCCATGCAGAGGGACCAGTCTCGGAAGCTTACACGGAGTCCACCTGCACACACAGGCCGTGCCGCAGGAGAACCGCAGGGACCCGAAGCGCCAGGAGAGCATGTGGCCGCAACCGGCCAGTGCGCGGGCGTCCTGATGCGGAGCGGGCACACTGAGCGAACACAACCTCTCTGAGAAGAGTCTGGAGGCCGGAGAGGGGCTCGGATGGAGCACCAGCTCGGGAAGAAGCCTGCCCTGCGGCCGGGCACCACCCGAGCCCCTGGCTTCCTCCGTCGGACCTGCAGGGCAGTCCCGCCCAGCCTCTTCCTCCCGGCCCCGCCCTGACTGCAGTCCCTCCGCCATTCCCAAATGAACCCATTTTGCTGGTACAGTAACTGGCTGCTTTATTTTCAAGGTTGGCCCGGTGGAAGTGAACGCGTCTACACACGTTACAATTCGTAAAACACTACGCCAAAAAGAGTCAACGTTACTTCAAGTTCCTTTGAACAATATTTTTTATTGCAGAGAGCGGTCAGGGGGGTCCTCACCTGACAGAGACCTGCGAGTCCGGACATTGTCCAGGTGGACGGTCCAGCAGCGAAGGTGCCAGAGCAGAGGACACTGCGTGGCCAGTGCCCCTCCGTGAGATGCTGGGACCCCCACCGGCCCTGCAGGAATCTGCGGCTTGGTCAGAGCAGTGGGAGTGCAGAGGAGGCTGGGGGTCAGGGGGACATAGGAATGCCAGGCCCCTAGGGGCCACGGTGAGGACTCTGGAATTACTGAACAGTGTGGGGAGCTGCGGGGCACAGGGAGCAAGCGGAGGGGGGGAACACTACATGACTGTTAAAGGCCTTCAGAGAACAGAGCTTGGAAAACCAAAGGCAGAGACCGGAGACCAGACACCTGGTTGGAAGGTGGGGGCTGGCACCGGAAGTTCTCCCCCCACCCCAGCTCCTGCCTCTGCACCCTGTCCCTCTCCAGATGCTGGCCGCCCTTTAGCGCCCCAACTGCGTACTCCTGGTGGGAAGCGGCTCCAGGCCTCCACCCCCCAGCTCAGAGCCCTGGGACACCACCATCCGCCACCTCAGGCTCTGCAAGCACCCCACCACGGAGACGGCGCCATTCACATCCACACTGGCCCAGTGGCACTCCACCACAGTGCCCCCAACTATCACCCCATAGCTGATGGGGGCCAGGTGCCCCGCACTCCCCATCATAGCAGCGCATTCAGAACACAGAGCTTGGTTTGGTGCAGGTGCACATTTCATTAGATCCTGGACTGAAGGGTGGGTGAGGCTCCGGGTCGGGGGTCGGGGGTCAGGAGGGGCGAGGACCTGGGGCCACAGCACATCCTCTCCCTGGAGCCCACTCTGGCTGGCTTGCCAGAGTGGGGTGGGGCCGGCAGGCTCAGGCATTTCTCTGCTCTGGGGGAAGGTACTCAAGGCCCAGGTGCCTGAATATGTCTTCCTCGGAGGCCATGTGGAAAAGCATCTTCTGCAACAGGAGTGGGGGTGTTAGGGCCCGGGGACTGCCCCCCACGGTGCTGGCTTCCTGGAGAAGGGCGTGGGGAGGCGTTGGGAGGGGCAGCAGTTTCTTCCCCCAGGCAACCCCCCCCCCTCCAGCAACATACCTGCTCAGGGTCAAACAGCCCATGGCTGTTCAGCCACAGCCCTCTCTCCTTCCGGCTGAAGCGGCGCAGCTCCCGCTGGAAATGCTGGGGAGAGCGGGGTCGTGTCAGGGCCACTTACCCCCCCACAGCCCCAGGCCCGGCCCCCACAGCCCACGCCTACCTTAGAGCCAGTCCAGCCTAGCAGGGCAAAAGGGAGCTGGCTGTTGGGGACAGCCACCAGGTCCACCCGCACGGCCCTCCTCTGGGCGCCCCCCACCGCGGCCCCTGGGGGTTGTGGTAGGCAGAAAATGCAGAAAATGATCTCGAAGGCATCCACGGTGTGGCTTCGTGGGGTCGGGTGGGTGGCGTCCTCAGGGCGGCCACGGTGGTGCTGGTGGTATAGGACAAGCCCCTGCGGGCAGAGCAGACGTGGCAGGCCACAGCGGGGTGGGGGCGGGGCCGGGGGCAGGAGCCAGGGTCCAGGCAGTCCTCCCCGCCGTCCGCCCGGCCCAGGCAGGCAGCCCGAGCCCCTCACCTGCTTCTCCAGGCGGCCCATCATGCTGGGCAGCAGCCCGGCCTCCTGGCCCTCCTGGGGGTGGCTGACCAGCAAGTCCACGTCGTGGCCCTGCAACTTCCCCCTGAGGGGGCACCATCTGACTCCGGGGGCCACATGGGGCTGTGGCCGCTCCCAGGTCCCGCTAGTGAGGGAGGGCCCACCTCAGGGGCCTTCCCTGGAGGGCTGGCAGACCCCCTCACCTCCGGAAGCCACCCACCAGCGTCACGGTGGCCCCAGGCAGGACATGCGCCGCAGCGGCTTCCACCACCTGCTGCAGGGCCTCCGCCTCCGGCCGCTGGACCGGGACGCTCAGGTCACAGTAGTGCTGGAGTCCTGCGGAAGCACAGTCTCCTGACCTTCCCAGCCCCACCAGCTCGCGCTCTCCACTGTCCCCTCCTCCCTTTGAAACAGAGGAGGGCGCCTGGGTGGCTCAGTTGGTTAAGCGACTGCCTTCGGCTCGGGTCATGATCCTGGAGTCCCGGGATCGAGTCCCACATCGGGCTCCCTGCTCGGCGGAGAGTCTGCTTCTCCCTCTGACCCTCTTCCCTCTCGTGCTCTTTCTCTCTCATTCTCTCTCTCTCAAATAAATAAAATCTTTAAAAAAAAAAGAAAGAAACAGAGGAAACCGTAGATCCGCGGGCAGCTGCATGGAAGGGCGGAAGCCCCCCTGTGCCCCCCGCCCAGTCCCCTCAATGGCAACGTCTAGCAGAACTACCAGCCATGCCATCAGGGTGCTGGTGTGGATGCAGTCACAACGCAGACTACCCCTTTGAAGGCCTCGATTCTCCCCTCCATAAAATGGGCCGGAAAAAGATAAGGACATGAAGGAGGTTGGTCTGCCACTCAGGAACCCCTTCACCGGAGCCCTGGCCCAGCTCCGCACCTGCGGGGGGACTGCTGCCTCCCGCACAGTCAGGAGAGGTTTCAGAGGGGGAGTGACGGCACTTGGGGGCGCGGGCTCTCGGTAGGCGGTTCCTGACCGCGTCATGGGGACACGTGGCTGACAGCACCTCATGTTCCCTCAGACACGTGACTCCATGGGTCGCACCGCCTGCAGACCCCCACAGGGCCTCCCCTCCCCCAGCCCAAGGGAAGATGTTCAAAGACGCGGTGGGTGCCGGGCTGCGGAACCACTCTGGCGGGGACCCCAACCGTGGCCACGCAGGGAGGCCCATCTAACACCTGCTACCTGCTGGCCTCACACGGAGCAGCTCACAGACAACGGAACGGAGGGAGGCTCAGAGAAGTTAAGTCTCAGGGCCACGGTCACCTACCTAGTACGTGGCCGAGACAGGACTCCAGCCCAGGCCTGACACACTCTCAAGCTCCCGTTCGCTCCACTGCACAGGGCCCCCTGCCATGAGCAGGCCCTGTCCTGAGCCTCTCCTGCCACACAGGTCCCCATACCATCTGCCAGTGCGCCAGGACACCAGCCCCATGCTGCCAAGCTGTGCGCAGGGCACGGGCCGCTGAGACACAGCCTTCCCTTCCTGGTCCAGCCGGGAGGTGTGAACGTCACACCATCACTGTTCACTGTGGAAGGGCTCCAGCAGATCCAGACAGAGGCCTGCCTGCCCCCAGGACTTCTGTGCACTGACCCCGCGCCCTCCCGTCCAGGCAGCCCCCCAGCACGCACCGCGTGTCAGTGCTGAGGGCTCCGCGGTGTGGGGGGCCCGGGGCCCCGTCCTTCTCAGAGGCTCACCTGCTCTCTGCTGCTGGGTCAGCCTCTGGGGCTGCTCGTGGAGGCTGTCCAGGGTCCGCAGCCCGTCCCGGTACCACCGGTCAGCAGTCTTGACCCCAACCCCAAAGATCCCGGTGAAAAGCTGTTTGGGGGACGAGCACAGTGTGATCAGGAGTAAAGTCCTGACAGAAGACGCAGATGGCCACCACCATCCGCGAGGGCGGTGCTGTCCCGGGCCGCCCCGTGGCCGCTCACGGCTGCCTGGTTCAAGCAGGCCGCCCCAGGCCACATGGTGCTCACACAGGCAGGATTCAAACCCCAAGGCTGGCCTGTGCGGAGGACGGCCCGGACAGACCCCGGTGTACCTCCCTCTGAGGGCCTCGACCCCCTGCTCCGGAAAAGTCTCTCCCCCAGAGCCTGTACAGCTCCAGCCTGTGAGTCCAGCAGCGCACACCAGTCACCCCCACAGCCTCCTGTCCACTGGGAACCACGCCGCTCCCACCTAATAGCAGCTGGGGTTTCACACCAGGGTTCTTCTCCTTAGCAAACCAGAGGGTTGTTCTAGAGGAGTGCAGCGTGGGAGCCAACCTCCCGTCAGGGGCGGCCGGCCCCACACGGGTCTCCCACACGGGGCGGGGGGTGGGCAGCCCCCAGCCCCAGCAAGTCACTCTTTCCTCCCCGACCACAGCTTGTTGGTCCGAGGTAGGCATCCGCCGCAGCAATTTTTGGAAGCGAAACAGAATGTCAGGCCTGTGCGGTGGTGGAGGCCGTAACCCACAGACGGGGAGCCTTCCGTGGCTGGGTCTCAGCTGGTGAGGGGGCCGACGCACAGAAAGGGGGAGGACCCTTGTGGCACTCGGCTCCCCGAGCCCTGCTTCCTCTGGCTACAGCCCTGCCCATCTTGGGCTATGCTGGCCATCCTTCCCTCGATCCCCTGAACCAAGAGCCTGGGTCCTGACAGAAAAAATGCTCAGAACAGCCCAACCATGTTGCTTCAACAATGAACTTCTAATCGTTGACCCACCTCTCTGCTGGCCTGGGCGCCTACCTGGGACCCTCTGTCCTTCATCCGTGGCTCCTCTCCCTCTCCGAAGCCCCCCGTTGGCCCTCACCACATTCTGGGCCACCTCCCAGAGCACTGACGGCCCACCCTGCCAGGGAAGCCCCCCGCCCCCAACAGGTCGCCGATGGGACAGGTGTCTGAGCCGCGGGACGGAGGCGGCCACCAGAGCTCTGGCGCGTCAGATCGGGGGCAGTAGGAACAGGAGAAGGTGCGCTGTGGACAAAGGCAGGGCGACAAGCAGGGCTGGAGATCATAAAGAGGGAGGAAGTTACGTTTTGTCCAGTACGCTCTGTTTAAGATGCTGGGGGACACAACACAGTGGAGAATATCAGTGATGGTGCTGAGTGGACCTACAAACGCCCCTGTGCTAAACGCTAGCTTCTCCTCGCCCGACTCTGTTTGGCTGCCTCACGGATCTCTGGTGTCAGCTCGCTGCTACCTCCTCAGAGAGACCTTCTCTGATTCCTGGGCGCCCCTGCTCGCCTCCCGTCCGTGGGTGGAACCGGGCTGCCATCCGGGGGAGGGCTCCGAGCCCCTGCTGGGGTCCGCCCTGCATGTACCTTCATGGTCTGGTACCGCTCTGACAGCCGGATCCTCTCCACCTCCTCACACACCCCATGTTCCAGCAGCTCCTAGGGGACCAAGCAGAAGGCTCAGCCTGACTGGACACAAGGTCTGGGACCCAAGGACCAGGCGGAACCCCAACGCTCAGCAGGGCAGCTTCGCCCGATCAGCACCCAGGGGCGCTTGGAAATAGAGACCATGCCTGGGGAGGCACCAACGCTTCTGGCCTCACGGCCCTGGGCCCAGGGAACACAGGGCCACCTCTTAGACGAATGACAAATCCCAGAATATGGAAACTGTGGCTTTTCCAAACACGGGTGATGTATTCAATGGGACTTTGCTTAAAAGCTTGAGTTCAAAAGTATGTTTGGTCCCCACATAGTCTCCCAGTGGCAAGGGAACCCTTTAGATGGTACGCTCAACATGGCATGTGAAGCACCTAACATTTTGGGTCCTTACGTACTTTGTATTTTAAAAAGATGTGCTCCAAGTCCGGGGTTCCCGTCCACCATCCCATACAGCGGGGCTGATGCCAACAATCCAGGTACCAGTCCTGCCCAGGCCCTCCCAGCCACATGGTGTGGCCCCCATTTACAGATGAGGAATCCGAGCAGAGGGTGGCTTGCCCTGGCCCTGAAGCGGGCCTCCATGGCTGCACTGAGCCCCTGACCGCCCCCACGCTCACGATCCCCAGGCCGCCTCATCCACCTGCCTGCACTCACGACTCCACCCAGGAGCACCTACCTGGACAACCCTGCAGGAGTGTTCTCCAAAGTGGGGCAGCCCCTGCAGCTGGCTCAGGGCCGTGACCCGGCTCGGAAGGGCCTTGAGCACCGCGGCCGCTCTACGGAAGGAGAGGAAGCGGCCCTCGCTGCCCTCAAAGCCTGCAGCCTCCGCCAGCACCTCTAGAGCCTCCTGCAAGGAGAGGCCCTTGGTGAGGGGGGACGGTGCCTGACTCCACGCCCTCTAGCTCCCACCCACCTGTCCCCAGGCTGGGACAGGGCAGAGTGGCAGGGCTGCTGGCAACAGGCCCGGCCCCACCCCAGGGAGGCTGGAAACCCAAGGCTCACCGAGAGGCCGGTGTTGTGGTGTGTGAGCGGCGTGGGGCGCTGGCAGGCATAGGGCGGCATCCTCACTGGTCTGGGCAGCTCCTTCCCCGGCATAGCCACCTGGGGACGGGCAATACAGAGGCCACCTGGCGGCTGAGGGCTGGCAGGGCCCGGCAGCCCCCAGAGCCCTGCCCCTGACAACGACAGGAGGAGCGGAGCAGGCGGAGGAGGGGCTCCTCACCCAGAGCATCAGCAGGCCCAGCACCCGCGGACTCTCAGGGAGGACCGTTCCTGTCATTGCACACGACGCGTGTGCTCTACCTCCCGCAACTGTCTCAATCGCGTGGGCTAGCAGTGCCTGTCATGCCCGCCTCGCAGACAGGGACACCGGCTCGTGGCCCACAGGCAGAGCTGACCTTGGGACTCTGAGCCCACACCTGCATCCCCCCAGGAAGCACTGAATGGGGGCAGAAGCCACACACCCACAGCACCGTGAGGACAGCTTCCTGCTGGCCCTTGGGTCATCTCACCAGGAGTTGCTATGTCACTACTTGAGCACGAAAGGACTGAAGATGCTAGAAATAAGTGGACCTCAAGAGGTCATACCAATGAGGGCAGAAGCCAGGATGGCCTGGCCTCCCAGGGCCCCCGGTGGTCTGAGCTGAGCCCCACTGCCCCCCCGCATCTGTAGGCACCGCGGTGCTGCTGACAGGCCACCTGTGCCCTCCGAGCCACAGCCTGCACCGGGGCATTCTCTGCGGGCCCCACGCCAGGCCACCCAGCTCACCTCCAGGCGGTGGCGGCTCTCCACGGGCACGGGCTGCCCAGCTGCCATGCTTTCTGTGAACCAGCTTATGTCCAGCAGTGCTGGGCGGGTGCATCCTCGGGGTGAGGCCGCCGCCACCCCGTGCCCCTGCCAGCAGCCGGCCTCCTCCGCTGAGGTCTGTTCCATCACCACATGCGTCACCTCGGAGCTGGGTAGAGAGAGGGGCACAGCTCACGTCGAGGTCCCTCCTGCCTCGCTCTGTGCCTCCAGGCCTTTGCTTCCTGTGCCCTCTGCCTGGTGAGCACCCATTCGTTCTTCCATGCCACCTCCTCAGAAAGCCCCTTCTCGAAGAGGAACTCATCTGCCACCCCAGCACCTGCAGAGCTGCAGCCCAGCCCACGTCTCTGTCAACTCGTCTGCCCTTCTCTCCCCCAGCCTCTGAGAATGGAGGTCCTTAGGGGGCAGGACCAGAGGCTCTTCGTCTGCTGCACCCAGACTGCTTGGGTGTGAACCCCAGCTCTGGCACATACTTGCTGGGTGGCCTTGGGCATCTCGCTTAACTTCTCTGTCCCCTGATTTCTTCCTCTTTAAAGCAGGTAACAACCTATCTACTGTGTAGGGTTGTTACACAGATTAAACAAACTCATAAGCAAAAGGCTTAGAGGCTTAGACAGCACCCAGCACACCAAACTCCTCTCTGAGCGGGTCTAACCACTGGGAATGGTTAAATCACTTAAACAAACAAACAAACAAACAAAAAAGCTGCTGGGGGACTGGCCCCTGGTTTGCTTGCTCTTCCAACTTTAAACCTGCCGGAACCCATTTCCTTAATCTCAGCAGTGTCTCTGTAGCCCATAATTTTTGCTGATCTTGAACCCTCACTCAAGTCATTGTCTCAGCCCAGAGAGGAGGCGTCATTTTGGCTAATAGGGCAAGATGAACTTACCGAGGGCACAAGGCCATTAGCCAGTGATATCCTTAACCACCCCACAGGGCCCTATAGCTCTTTACAGAGCCTCTGGTATACGTTCTCTCCTTGTCCTACAGAACACTCCTGGCCCTAACTGCAAGCACCCTTTTATACAAGAGGATATTGAGAGAAAAGCCACATGAACATGAAATGCCAGGGTTAACTTGGAATCCAAAACCTCCGGTGCCCCTCCACTGCCAGGTGAGTCGTTTTAGATCTCAATATCCTCAGCTGAAAAGAAACACCGCTTGTGAGTGTGGCTGGTCACTTGCAAAGTTCTGAGCACCGGCATTTTGTGCTTAGGCGCTCACACCACGCAGCAGTGTCGTCGGGGCGTGACGGCATGGCGATCCCACACAGGCGTCCCTTGGTCCCCTGTGGGCGCAGCACCCGCCCCGCGCCCCTCGTGCAGGAGCCCCCCCCAACCACGAAGGCGTCCCGGGCAGGAGCCCCCGGCAGGTGACCCCCTGCAGGGGTCCCAGGCAGAAACCCCAGGGCAGGTGACCCCCCTCCGAGACGCCCCGGGCCGGAGCCCCCGGGCAGGTGACCCCCCTGAAGTCACCCCCGGCAGGAACCCCCACACAGGTGCCCCCACCAAGGTACCCCGGGCAGGAGCCCCAGACAGGTGCCCCCCCAGCCAAGGCGCCCGGACAGGAGCCCCGGATAGGTGCCACCCCCCCAAAGCGCCGCGGGCAAGGGCCCCACCCCGGGCCGCAAGCTTCTCCACGACCGCGCACCTGTAGGCGTCCAGGACCCTGAAGCCCTTGGAGACCGCCAGGCGCGTGAGGAAGGCCCGGCGGCTGCGGCCCATGCGCGGCTCGGCCAGGTAGATGGCGACGCCCGGGAAGTGCGGCGGGGAGGAGGAGGCAGGGCCGCCGGGGGACAGGACCCGCGCTCGTCGCCGCTTCGGGAGCATCCCGTCTCTGGCCGCGGGCCGGCGCCGGAAAAAGGAGCGCGGAAATCGGAAGAAAGGCTGCAAAGCAGGCTGGAAGGGGAAGCGGCACCTGGAGGTATGTGCGAGCAGGCCCCGCCCCATGCAAATTGCGCCACTCGGAGTGGTCGGGGGCTCCTGGGGGATTGAGTTCGCGCCTCAGGCCCCTTCTCCATGCAAATAGCACCAGAGGACACGCCCTTTATGTAAATAACTCGCGGAGCTAAGTGGAACAGCGCGGGCGTGTGGGGCGAGGCCGGGGAGAACGGGGGCGGGGCAGGGGTGGGACCAGTGAGCGCGCGGGCGGGGCGTGCGCGGGGTGGCCGGTGAACGCAGGGCGAGCACGGAGGCG